CGCCGAGGAAAGTGTCCGACTGAGAGGCCATCGCCAAGAGCTCCTCGTCCGTTGCGTTCGCCAGGGACTCACGTTCCGGGGACGTGAGCAGGTTGGCTAACCGAATACGGTCCACAACGCGCCGGACGGCGTGCACAAACTCGGACTCCTGGCCCTCCCACGCGGCGATGAGAATGTTGTCAATCATGGTGTCGATCAGCACCGGCGTGTCGACATCCACAATGACCCAGGTGATGGCCTGTCCCACCGCCACGCTCCACCGCGCGCCCGTCGGCAGCGTGCACAGCCGGTAATACCTGCCACGCCGCGACCGAAAGACAAAGTGGTTGCGGATCGATTCCGGGATAGGAATCGAGTCATAGAATGCCTCAAAGTCAATCTGGAGCATGTACTTGGCGTAGCGCAGCGACTGGCGGCGTTGCAGGCGGCTTGGGTAGCGCAGGCGCGGCATCTCTTCCCGCGAAATGACCCCGTTGAGGTGCGGCTCCGTGATGAGCCGGCGGCGTCCCTTCAGCTCGGGCACGGCAAACACACTCACGCCGTGGTAGCCTTGTGGCAACACAGCGCTGCGCACGCGCGCGTCGGGGAGCTCTACCGGCTCAAACTTGCCCATCTCCACGGCTCGGGCAATGTCCGCCTCCGCCAGCATGGTGGGCTTGATCGTTCGTGACGTCTTGAGGTCGCGGAAGGTGACAGGGTCGACGTACTTGCGCACCTGGTGCAGCAGGTCCTTGGACGCCGTCGTGCTTGTCGGCATTTCCAGCACCGCGTTCCAGTCGAGCGGTGTGGTGTGTTTGAGGTGCAAGCGCCACTGGGAAGGTGGCGGAAGCTCCTCTGGGTTTGGGTTCCCCTTCAGCAGCTGGATCTCGCGGTACAGGTCCTGGTCGCGGATACCGAGGTCCTTCGCGGATGGCTGCGAGGCGCCTACGGCCTCTGGTCGTGGTGGAGAGCCCTTGCGGCGTTGGCCCGTGCGCTTTCTGCCTCCGCTGTGAGTTGGAGGCCATAGCCCAGGTACCGCCGTAGTGTGTCGAGACGGGTGTGGCCCGTCAGCCGGGCTATCTGCTCCTCCGGCACACCGCACGCCGCCATATGACGGGCGGCTCCCTTCCTCACCGAGGGGAGCGCCGCCTCCGGATTGGTGAAGCGCAGCGCCGCTCGCACCCGCGTGCAGAGCCGCTCGGCGTGCGCAAACACCCGCTGGCGGGGTCGCCGCTCGTGCAGCAGCTGCTGCAGTGTGGACGCGTCCGTCCCGATCAGCTGCGACGCCACCGGGTACGGGCCGCGGAAACGCGCGCCCTTGTTCTCGCGCATCGTGACCGTGATGTTCACCAGCGCCGTGCTCCGCCGTCCGCCGCTGGCCGCCGGGTGTGCCACGCTTGTCTGCTCCTCCTCCACATCCTGCGCACCCCCATCCTCCGGCACAGGAGACAGTATCACGTCCTTGCGCCGCATCGACGCCACGTCCGAGGGGCGAGCGGCAAAGGCCCACATCATGGCCAGATACAGCCGCGCGATGGGGCTCACCTCGTCCAGCTTCTTCCACGCGGCGCGGTACTGCTCGTGCGTGATCGGCGCAGGCGGTTCCTTCTCCTCCTCGCGCTCGTAGCGATGCGCTGCCTGTAGGCCGGCTGCAAACTCGGGGTCCTTGGACAGGTCCACTGCAAAGGAGAAGTTCGTGTAGAGCGGCAGGCTCCGCAGAGCGCCGCTGATGGCGGATAGCGCCTTGGCCGTCGTCGCCCACTTCCAATGTCTTGCGTGCGCCATGCGACGCACCAGCTCCAGCGCCGCGCTTGGCAGGGGGAACCGCAGCAGGTCCGCTGGCATGCTGCGAAGCTCCTTCAGCCATCGAATGTGCATGAACCGCATCTGCGGGGTGATTTGGTTCCATGCGAGCTGGCTGATGTGCGGTGGCTTGTCCGCGTGTATGTACCAAGTTCGGGGACTGGACAGCCTGCCAGTATCGGCAACGATGGGGAACCGTCCAAGTGTCGGGCCCTCCACTGCTGTGCGTTGCTGTTGGCGAGAGTTGTCGGGCGGGCGGACCGGCGGCTGTTGGCTCCCGGGAAGTGGCTCGCCCACCTCCGGTCGCCGCGTGACCGCAGCACCCACCGGACTTCCGGGATGTCCGTCCCCATGCCAGTTTAAAGTCGTTGTGACTGGCGTTTCGACTGCGTTGACGACCTCTTGCGGCGCCTCTTCGTCCGTCTCCACCACTTCCGGGACGGGAGGGGCAGCGCGACCAGGATCACTCCGCACCTCACGTGAACCCTCTCCGTCGTCGCGCCGCCACCGTCGCAAAGCGTGCCGCTCGAGCAACGCCGCAGGTGGCTTGTCTACCCCCACCTTGGGACCCCGTCGCCGCGTGCTCTGCCGCTCGGCTGTTTCAGCGGGGTACCCGACCATCTCAGACGGGAGATACACACCGTAGATTGCCTCGTGCGGGTCCGTGGTGAGAAACCAGCGCGTCACTGGCGGGCCACTGCGCGCGCCAGCAGGCTCCGCGGCCAACTTCGCGCCAAGCCGGAACGAAAATGTCTCTGCACCTGCCGCACCGGCGCGCCGAACCGTCACGGAGAGCCCGTGGGCTGGGCTCGGTGTCTGCACAAAAAGTGCCGTCTGTTCACGCATCGCGGTCGTCTTCTTGCTGGGCCGCGCCGGTGATGTGGTGGGCGGATACTCGATGAGCCGTCGAGAAACGCGCGCCTGGTTGTCCTCATGGCATGTAAAGTGTAACGCAACGCCAAACGTAGACAGCGCGTCACCCAGATCGTAGGGTATCCCCACGTGAAAGCCAAAACGCTTCGCCTGTACGGCGAGTGTATGCCAGGCCATACGGCGGTGCCCGCCGTCACCGACGTTCATCAGCGACGTCGCCGCCGCGAAGAAGCACAAATTGCGCTCGGCGATTGGTGTGTAGCAGGCCTCGAAAAAAGAGACAGCCTGCTGTGCGTGCGTGTCTACCAGATACGTGGAGCCGTGCGAGACACCGGCGGGCGTTGTCGCTGGTGCATCGCTCTCCCCATAGTTCGTACGCGTGCCATGAATGGCAGTGCTCGGTGCAACCACAACGGCACCTGGCTCGATCGTCGTGGGAGAAAAGGTGTCCTCGTCCGTGACGGAGGTGTCGGAGCTGGGCACCAAAACCTCATCCTCACACAGAAAAGGGTCGCGCGGCGCCGGACCTGCTGGCGTCGCCACAACTTCGCTCGCCGATGGCTTCCTCCTCGCGACCGCCCTTGCCACCTTTTCCTTCTTTTGCTTCGATGGGAGCGCCGTCGTCGGCTTCTGCTCCTTCTTCGCGGCGTCTTTTCGGCCGCCGGCCTCCAACAACGCCGTCTTGTGCCAGTCTTGCGGAACCGACTGGTCTCTGGTGAGGAACTGCCGCATGCGGCGAAGGAATGTCGTCCGGTCCGGGCACTTCTGCAGCGCCGACCAGAGTAGATACCGCATCCGTTTCCCAAGCGAATTCGGCCTCGCAATTCGAACGCCCAGCGCGTACGAAAAGAATATTCCTGCCATGTATAGGCCACAGTCCTCGCTGCCACGCTTCTGGTGCGGGCAGTGTTTCTTTCGAATAACAAGCTCGGGCCAGAGCTTTCCAAATAGCGCGTAGAGGTCACGGTGCACGAGCACTGATGGCGCAGAGTCGTGGATGGTCATGACGACCGACCTCTCGCTGTCGTGGATGCTGAGAACACCAGCCATCCAGTGGTGGCGCAGAAACAACGGAAAGAACAAGTAACCGTCCGACGTGACGGGTTGCTCTCCGGAAAGGAGACGCTTCTGCAGCCGCTGCGCATCGAGCTCGGTCATGCGCGGCAAAGTCGCACAGGGCAGCACCGTGCCCTGCGGAAGGTACCTCTCGAAAATCGTATCGAGATCCACGTTCGACGTCTTACCCTCCACAAAGTCACCGCCTTCAATGGCAGTGTACTCGGGGTGCGTCGTCACGCGGGTGGCACCGTGCAGGGGTTCGAGCGATACAGCATCGCTTCCCTGCAGTGTGGGACGAATGTTTAGAGAGCAATTGTGTCCCGCTTGCTCTGTTTTAAAACTTTGACGGCTGCGGAATGCTTTTGGCGGGAAGGGCGAATGCTTCAGCAATCACGATACATACGAGAAGAGATCGTGAGGATCAAAAGAGAAGCAAGAGAAGAAGTAAGAAGAGAAGTCACAAGTGATCTCGAGCACGTGTCGGTGCATTCCCGACAGGATGGCAGAGGTGTTGTTTCGCGCGTTACAATTGGAACACATCGCGAAAGTGCATCCTGAACAACCAGTGTTGTACAAACGTGCGACATGGACTTGGGCTCTGCACATGAAACTTCATCTTCGCATTTCGCGGCACAAAAGCATTAACCAAAACAACGAATCAAGAAAAGAGACCAAATATCACGCCAACCACAACCAAAATATCAGCAACCTAAATAAAGTGACACGCTCTTTCTTCAGAGTACGAAACTCAATCAGAACCGCTTCCCTAACCCTAACCCTAACCCTAACCCTAACCCTAACCCTAACCCCGCCCTTTCCTACACCACGGCAGCCCCAACACCAACGCACACAGCACAAGACGGCAGGTTGTGCACGCCACGCCACCATGTACATGCGCTATGTTGCTCCCTCCGTCTCTTACAGCCCCACACACTCAGCAGCAGAGAGCCCTCTATAGCACGCCCACCCCACAGCACACCCGTCCAGCCATACACAACACGCAGCCACTCACCGTCAGGCCACACACACGCACCAGACGGAGCAGTGTCAGCGTCCCCCGCACGGTGCACAGCGGCAGATTCCCCAGTTTGGGCCGCACTCGCAGCAGTCCCAGAGCGGCTACCCCTAAGCCGTGGGAATCGCCATCGTCACACGTCTCCAGCAAGGGGACAGCCCACAGACGGACCACTACCCCCCTGTACACGTTGCTCGCCTGCCTGTTCGCTCAGTAAAGGGTCCGGCTCTCATGCCGTGCAGAGGGCCGTGTTGTGTTCGGCGTGGCCAGGCCCTCGAGTCGACCACCACCACATCTGGCACAGACATCGCCGCAACCGTCGCAGCCCTCGCCGTGTCACGCCTCTCCTTCGCGCTGGTGCTCTGTTCTCCTCCGCTATCGTGGTGGCGTCCGCCTGTCCCTCAAGAAACTCCCGGCAAGAGTCAACTCCCTTTCATGCCCCTTCCTCTCCCCTGCTCGTCTCCTCTGGCTGTTGCCGTGCGATCGCCGAGGAAGCGGTGGGCTCATCACGTTAGAGCTGGCGCGGTGTGCCGACGGTTGAGCACGTGACGTTGCGACACTCCGCCGTTCAGCAGGAAGCCGCCGTTGCTGCTGCAGTTGCTTCTTTTTGGTGGGCAGCTGCCGCGCCTTCTTTGGCCCCTCGGCACGGAGGAGTGGTGCCGCAGTCGTAGACAGCGTCGCGTCCTGCACCCGAAGAACCCGCCACACACCACCACGGCCACGCCCTCTGCCTCTTCCACGGCGCCGGTGCAATTTCCTCGCAGAAGTAGCTCGTTCGCGAGATGTGGATCATCAGCACCCTGCGCATCCTCTCGAGAGAATAGTGCTGCGACGGATAGCGCTGCTTCTCGATGAACAGCAGGCGGCGCAGACACGCAGGCAAGAGGTGGCAGGCAACCTTAAGAACAGTAGAAACGTGCCCGAAACATTTTGCGGTCATGTGGAGGCCGCAGTCGTTGCTGTAGCGCCATCGGTGTGGACGGTGTCCCTTCACGAGACGCAGCCCCGGCCACACGGGGGCAAAAACAGGGCGCAGCTGCTCCTCCACCATTGGCAATGGCGCCGAGCCGTACGTGGTCAGCACCACCGCAGGCACCTTGTGGTTGCTTTCGGACTGTTCTCTCAGCACGCCGGCGACGCAATGCTGCATGACGAAGAATAAAAACATCAAACACTTCACAAATCTTTCCGATTTCATTTTCTTTCAGTTTAAGAATAATTGTTCAGCTCTCTGTTCCTGTCTTCTTGTCATGACTCGTTTACTTCTGTTTGTTTTGCCGTTGGCGCCTCTGCGTTGCTTTGTCATGTCTCCCCGCAGCAGTTCACAAGCACTTCTCTTTTTTCCTATTTGTCCTCGTTGTCTCTTCACGTCGTGGTGCTTTTTGCAAGTATGTCATCCCTTTGCTTGGAAAACAACGTCTAGAATAAAAAGGTTTTCACCTCGATCAGACTCGCACGGGTGTTATGCAACTGGGAGTAGAAAGCAGTCGAGCGCCTGCTGTTTTTTCCATCGTTTGCACGTAGCGCTTGCTGGCGCACTTTTCTAGTCCTCACAGTCGCATTACTTCTTCTTGTCTCTCCTCTGAAAAAGCGCGGCAACTCCCTTCTGCACCTCTTCACTCATGCACCAAGGCGTTAAGCAGCACCGTAAAAGACACGCAACACGCACAGTTGTCTACTTGATGCGGATAAAACTTCAGTGAGAAGGACAGCAACGCCCTGTTCGGTCTAAGGGAGAGGGGTATGGGTTCACCGCAGCGCAACGGCTCAGGAGTTGGAATGGTAATTAGGCGCACGTGCGATGTCGCTCGTATGCCGCGACGAGTTGCCGAAAAGAAAAAAAGAGAAGAAGGGGTGCAAAGCGAATTAGAGCAAGAGTACCCCCCCCCCGCTCAAACTGAATGAAATTGGAATGGCAGCACGTAATGAAGAAGCGAGGTTCGCTTGGGTCACCACAAGCGTGCGTTGAACTGTCGATATTGCTGCGCAAAGGTGTATGGCGAAGTCACTCAGCGGAAGACTAAACGACGTTCATCAAGGAAGCGGTGCTTTTCCCTCTTCTGCATTATGAAAGCTGTGTGACGGTTGCTCGAGCGCAGAGCATCTCCGTGGATTCATCACACGCCTGGCAAAAGCGAAACGGTAATAAAAAATATGCACACAACGCGAGTCAATCGTTTATTGTTATTATTATTATTATTATTATTCGCACAGGGGTGACAGCTGCATCTGCTGGAGTGAATACGAAGTCAACGATAAAACCGTTGGGCGGTAGACGCGTTAAAACCGGTGTGAAACTGAAGAGTTGTGAGCGCCAACGGCTCGCCGTCATCACACGTGCTATCGCATCGCAAACTGTGTTCTTTGTGTTGTACAACATCACAATCGTGTGGCCCTGCACCGCTCATCTCACCGTAACAGGACGAGGCCCCATCTTAAATATCCGTGACCCGAAAGACAGAAAACAGAAAAGAAAGCATCTGTTCGTTGGGTCGGCGTGCCGACATCGACAACAGCACCTCGAATTAATGTTTCTGAGTAACGATCACTCGACGTTAGTGCTGTCGTTCCATTGCACGGCGGCGCCGAAGCCGGTGTTGCAACGACACAAGAAGCACAGCGACGCCATAAAAAACAGGGGAAAAAAAGAATAAGCAAACAGCAGAGCGCCGCGGACTCTTACTCATTCAAAAGGCCGTTGATGCGCAGGAACGCCTTCATGTTCGCCTTGCGTCCCGCGAACTTCTCGTACGCGACGTTTGCGTCCACCGAGTTGCCCACTGACAGCACGCACGCACGCAGGTGGTCGCCGTTCTGTCGCGTCAGACCGCCGTTCTCCAGGAACCACTCGAAGCCATCGCAATCCAACACGCGGGCCCACTGATACACATAGTAGTTTGATGCATAGCCTCCAGTGAACGTGTGCAGGAAGTAACCGCTGTGGTAGCGCGGCGGTATCTCCGCCAGACCTACGCCGAACGCCTTCATCGCAGCCTCTTCCATCTCCGCCGCAGGCAGCAGCATCGACTCTTCCGTCACGAGATGCCAATACAGGTCCAGGTACGCCGCTTTCACCACCTCAATCGTCGAGAAACCTCCGCCATACGTTTCCGCAGCGCGCATGCGGTCCACAAGCGCCTGCGGTATCGGCTCCTTCGTCTCGTAGTGGATCGCGTAGTTGCGCAGCACCTTGTCGTACATCGCCCAGTGCTCGTTGATCTGCGACGGGAACTCCAGGAAGTCAGCGGCGACATTGGGACCCGCCAGCGTTGGGTACTTGAGACTGCTCAGCATGCCGTGCAGACCGTGGCCGAACTCGTGGAACAGTGTCGTGACCTCCCACTTACTCATCAACGTTACCTTCCCTTCCACAGGCTTCACAAGGTTCAGAACGTTGTGCACCACCGGCTTCTGGTGAAGCGAAAGCGACTGCTCCACATACCACGTCATCCACGCACCGCCACGCTTGCTGGAGCGCGCATACGGGTCCAGGCAGTAAATGGCAAGCGACTCGCCCGTGTGGTCAAAAACCTCGAAGGTCATCACATCCGGGTGATACACAGGCAGGTCCGTGCGGCGCTGCATCGTCAGACCGTAGAGCTGCTCCGCGGTGTAGAACACACCACGCTCCAGCACGTTGTGCAGCTCAAAGTACGGCTTCGTCTCGCTCTCGTCGAGATCGTACTGCTGCTTCCGCACCTTCTCCGCGTAGTAGCTCCAATCCCAGGGTGCAAGCTCGAAGTCGCCGCCCTCCTCGCGGATCATCTTCTGGATATCCGTGGCCTCCTTCTTCGCCTTCATCGCAGCTGCCTTGCCCATGTCACGCAGTAGCGCCTCCGCAGACGCAGGGTCCGCCATCTGGTTCTGCAGCTGCCACTCCGCAAAGCTCTTCTTGCCAAGCAGTTTCGCCTTACGCAGACGAAGACAAGCTATTTCTTCGATATCCGCGCGCGTATCGTTGGCGTCGCCGCGGCACGCACGCTGCTCGCTCGCCTCGAACAGGCGCCGGCGCGTCTCTCGGTTCTTCAGCGACGTCAGTAGCGGCTGCTGCGTTGTGTTCACGATGATCAGCGCGTACTTCCCGGGGTGGCCCAGGTCCTCCGCCTCCTTCCGCGCAGTCGCGATGTCGTCCTCGGACAGCCCCTCCAGCTCTGCAACGTCGTCCACGATCAGCGACGCAGTCTTGCGCGTGCCCATCACCTTGTTGCCAAACACGCTTTCCAAGGTGGCAAGACGCTCGTTGACCTGCTTCAGTTCCTTCTTGCCAGCGTCGTCCAGAGCGGCACCCGCCTTGCGAAAGTGCTCTTCGTAGTACTCCACGAGGCGCAGGTCCTCGCCGGCCAGTCCGCCACGGTCGTCGTACACAGCTTTAATGCGGTGATACAGTATAGAGTCGAGGTAGATCTTGTCGGAGTGAACCGCCGTCTTCGGCGAGTACTCCAGCATCAGCTGCTGCATCTCCGGTGTAGAGTTGGCAGCATACAGGTTGCTGAAGGAACTCCACGAGCGAAACAGCAGCCGTCCGCTGAGCTCCAATGCAACGACGGTGTTCTCGAAGGTCGGTGCATCAGGATCAGACTTTATGACTTCGATTTCAGCCAGCTGCTCTGCCATACCCTCCTCAATGGCGGGAGCGTAGTGCTCCACCTTGATCTTGTCGAAGGGTGGCGACTGGAAAGGAAGCGAGCTGGGCTGCAGAAGTGGATTCTCCGACATTGTGATACTTTGAAAAGGTGTAACCTGCTGAGAGAACAAGATGTGAAAGGGGAAGGCAAGGCGAAAAAATAATGGTTGTGAAAGAAGAATCCACGTCGTGAAGTGGCAGTTTTTCCAGACAAAAGAAATCTTTATTCGAATGTCACAGCGACAGTCGATGAAGCGGCCGACGGCAACGCGTCCCAAAAGAAAAGGGAAAGAGGAAAGATGAAGACGGAAGAAAAACGGGGGTGGAAACTGCAAGGGATGAGGCACGACCACGAAGCCCAGGAGTACATCCTCTAACAGGTGTAGGTCACGTTACTGGCCGTATCTGGCTGAGAGGCTTTGTACGCGGTGCAGTGGCGATATTTATCAGAACGATGTGGTGATTGACCCTGCAGCCGCTTGCTGTGGCTCTCATTTGAGCAGCTCGTTCTGCTTCGGAACTACTACACTTCTTTCTCTGCATGACCTGAAGGCAGAGAGCCGTTTTTTTTTCGAGTTCTACGTTGTACGCTACAGCCGTTTGAGATGTGCTGTCACGGTTTTAATGAAAAGACTGTCCATCGTATCCGCCACCGCCTCCTCGCTCATCTCACGCATCATCAGCGCACGTGCCCGCTGCCCCACACGCCCCGCGTGCTCCGGGTGTTGCAGCACATACCGCATCAGCTCCGCCGTCTTCTC